TAAGTCACAATCGAACTGAAGCTAATATTTGGTGTCTGCTTAGTGAGGGACTTGAGCAGTGTTTTATAGTAGTAAATAAAACAATACATAAAAATTCTTTCATAAGTTAAAAGTTGTAAAGAACTATTTTATTTTTTTACTGAAAGACACAAATGCACAGCAGGTTTGATGACCAGATGTTTTTATTTGAAAACTGCCCTGCTACATACAATGCATTGCTTATAAATTTCTAATTCAAAAGGACCATTAATGTTGCATTAAAAATAAGGTCAGTTTCAATGTACAAAATTTCATGCATTCCAAAAGGCAACGTTTCATTATTGCTTGTATAAATATATAATCTCTAGTTATTATAGTACGTGTACCCTGATTTACTGTGCACTGCTAATGTTTCTCAGAATCAGGCCACGACCACCTGACGACACCAACAAGAGCAATAGTTCAATGCTTCACGAAAAAAAGAGTCCAACCTTAGGTCTGTATTCCAAAGCGTTCATGAATTATAACAATTTAAGTTTGAATAGTGCACTTTCACATCTATATTCAAAAATGGGGGGTGGCACTTAAAGGGTTAAATATGGCACATGATCCATATGGACCTCTTTTATGCACAAAAGAAATAAAAACACGTTTTTTTTTTTAGAGTGAAATAATCCTTTAAAGGAAGTTCATCCAAAAATGAAAACTTGCTGAAAATTGTCACCCTACATTTTAAGCAAATTTTCATTTTTGGGTCAACCATTTCTTTTAAGGTCGTGCATCTGCAGGACTCAACACAATGTAATCTCAATCTCTCCATCAAAAAACACCAATCAGATTTTACAGTCACACATACAAAAATATCACCTCCAATCTGTTTCAACAAAAACGAATAAACCAGAGACAATCATTCAATCTTACAGGACCGTAGTGAGGACAGACAGACGTATTTATCTCTTTATGAGTGTGTTTTAGCTCTTCATACCTTAAAACAGAAATCCAGTCCAGAGATCTGATAAAAGTCCTTCCTCCTGCTGAGATCTCACAGATTCCACATCAACTGGTAGCAATTACTCGTACTGTTCACTCCTCATCAACTCAATATTAATACTGTTATAGAGAGAAGTTAGAAAGCTGATCGAATAGAACAAAAACAGAGTATGACGATCTATTAACTGGCAATGAAATACATTTTATGAATATCAAGTTGTGTTTTTAAAAATTACCACTAAACCTGTTCAGCATGACTGAACAATTTCATTCTAATATGATAAACGTTTAGATTTTACAGCTACATAAATAACCTTTTCCTACACAAATACTTGTACCTGCCTTTGCTGGAGAGATTGCTTTGAAATCATTGCAATCATTTCATTTCTATGATTTTCAGCCATCAGCAGTTCGAGACTTCCTGAAATCTCATTTCATCTGATGGAAAGATCAAAAGAGGGAAACCTTGCATCTAGATCTGCGCTAAAACAAACCGAATATGATGCAAACGTGCATGAGTTACGACAGCTGCACTGTGATAATAGAGTAAACTAGTGGAATCTGACAGTAAGTGAAATGTGAATTGCATTAAGAAATAAACTAAATACTGCACTCATGCTCAAACACACAATAACATCTACACAAAACAAAACATACAATTGGACTGGGAAATAAATGCCACTGGTGGGTCAATTCTGTGTATGATTAGAGAAGAACATCATTTGGAGAGATGCAGATGATCAGATGTCCGACATACCGATGATATTAGCTGCAGAAACTCTATGTGGGACACAACACTGAAACAACAGATATCAAAGGATAGATCAGTAAAAGCCTCAACAAAAAAAAAAGATTGTGGTCAGTAAGTTTTTTTTTTTTTTTGTCTTTTAGGGAAATACTTTAATTTAGCAAGTATGCATTAAACTGATCAAAAGTGATAGTAAAGACATTTCAAATAGATGCTGCTTTTTGATTCATCAAAAAAGCCCGGAATTTTTTTCTTTTTAATAATGTTTCACAATATTACTGATTTTACTGTATTTTTGATCAAATAAATGCAGCCTTGGTGAGCATAAGACTTTTCAAAAACAGTAGTTGTTTTGCTGTACATTGTATATTATTACCACCACAACTTCTTACTTATGAGACAAATAATGTTTACTAACATACATCACAGAGAAGACAACAAATACTACACACACACACACACACACACACAACAAAAATCTATTTTACACACACTTGTGTGTCTGATGGGTTTACTTAGCTATGGTTTGAAGACAAAATTATCTCCAGAAGTGAGGTAAAAAAAAATCCCTTTGGGGACATCTTCATTTGAAATAACATAAATACACATTTTTAAACATTTTGTCATTTTAGACTGTAGTCATTATAATTAGCAATATGTATAAAAACAACACACCTCCTTCACCTGTTCTCTCACACCAGCGCTAGAGGTCAAATGCAGCGAGAGCAAAAATAAAACACATAAAACACACAGAAGATCAATGAGGCTCAGACTGACAGTGATGGAGACTGACGAGTGATTCAGGTGTCTGATACCTTTGAGGATGTAGTCGGTCAGAAGAGCAGGAACTGTGTCACTGTCCTCACGCATGGCATGCAGAACTACAGAGAAACACAGACACACATTTATTCATGTACAACACTACACAAATACGCCCTCTTTACAGCTCGGTGTGTATGTGTGTGTATATATATATATATATATGTGACCATGGACCACAAAACCAGTCTTAAGTGTCTTAAAATCTTAAGTGAAATTAAGTAATTTCCCGAAATGAGATGTATACATCACATGAAAGCTGAATAAATAAGCTTTCCATTGATGTATGGTTTGTTAGGATAGGACAATATGTGGCTGAGATACAACTATTAGAAAATCTGGAATCTGAGGGTGCAAAAAAAATCAAAATATTGAGAAAATCGCCTTTAAAGTTGTCCAAATGAAGTTCTTAGCAATGCATATTACTAATATTACTATATTACTAATCAGAAATGAAGTTTTGATACATTTACTGTAAGAAATTTACAAAATATCTTCATGTAACGGGATCTTTACTTAATATCCTAATGATTTTTGGCATAAAAGAAAAATCATTTATTTTGACACATACAATGTATTTTTGGCTA